TGCCCCTGCCTTCTAACTGCTCTCCCTCACCGCCGCGGCAGGTCACTACTCACGGACATTCACACAAAGATTCACGCGAGAACGATCGCCATCACATTTCCAACTTACATCTGTTTTCAGTCTCGACTACCCACCAACCAATCATCTGCTATAACCTTCAAAGCCCACCTATACTACCTGTGCACCGCTCGTGCATCGCCGCTAATTATCAATGTTCATCTTACCCCGAGTCTAGTATACCTGGCACATTTTTCTTGCTGTAGTCCAAGTCTCACACATCCATTTGCACCACAACGATGCTGACGATGGCTTGATTCGTGATGAAGATTATGTTCCTTATCCATCCAATTCGCAACCGATAGCCACAGGGCAGCTCATGGCTAGAGGGCATGGAAGTCGCCAGTTGTGTGATTGCTTGTAGATCAGCTTCGAGGATATTCCTTGGGTATTGCTCGTCTCATACGTCAAATTCACACTCTTGGATTACTGTTGTAGATAACAAATGCATACCGCTACAATATCTCTAGCGTCTTGACCATGTCTAGAATAGAAGAAAGGTCTTTGACTTGTGCAATAATATCATGATCTGACGCGATTCTCTTGTATTCTCCGCCGCGCTGGCGCGCTAGCAAAAATGCGCTAAAAGGCTGCCCAAGACGAGCAGCCAATCGCAAGGCTCGATCGCTCAGTTCTGAATCAACCGACTCCTGTGCTTCAGGGAACTCGTCATGCGAATCCTGTAATGGAGACCCGGGCGCAGACCAATAACCTTCCTCGCTCTCTGTGTCGTCAGTCACATCAGGCAACTCTACCAAGCCAGACGGCTCCACGAAATCAGGAAGCTCGAGGAGATAACGATTCCACGGACGAACAAGCAAGAGTGTCTGCATAGTGGGTCGTAGTGATGAGAATGGATTTAGCTTGTCCTCCGTGGTGATCAGCAGGTCATGAAGCCCATCGGCTTTAACTTCGTATATCTCCTGGTCTTGCGCGCGACTCCGTTTGACTGCTGTGACACGAAATGCAATACAAGGTAGATGAACTCTGCAGTTTGCGAAACGTGGAGCGTTCAGGTTGTCAAGCAGGGCATAAAGTTTCAGGACCAAATCTAGAGCGACGACATGTCGGAGCGAGGAGATCGACGTCTGAATGTCATCTTCGGAAAGAGATGGCAGGGTGTATGGTGGAGCTTTATATGAAGTAATGTCTGCCGGTAGACAGCTATTGAATTCGGATGATTGGCCCACCCAGTCCAGGGCACTGATGTCACCCGACTGCGCTACGACCTCCTGCAAGAGCCTCCCAAGCGCATTTTGCTTCTTCTCGCCATAAATGACAGGTAGTCTGACGTCGAAGATACCAAACAATGAGTATGCAATATCTTCCGGCCACGTAGTGACACGGGCCGACACCCATTGGAGTTTCTCCCGTGCGTCTCTCATCCCTGGACGGAAGGCGACGAGGGCCTGTGCATCTATGCCCGTCGCATCTCCCATCTCCTGCATGATTGCAAGGGAATCCTTGTGGTTGGGAGAGCGATCATTGAGATATAAGGACCAATCCTTCTGATAAAATAGGACAAATTTTGGGGCGAGGAAGTCTTGAACTGTCCATCCTCGCGTGTTCCAAATGCTACTTGCGAGTGCGCCAGGCTGCGACGAAGGTGGAACATCCGACAGGTAGATGATGGTAAGTGCTGAGTGGCGATACCAGATAAACATGGAGTTGACCGATTGTTGGACCTCGACATTGTTAGTCTGGTCGATGCAACAGGTGTCGATCCATGTCCAGCGATACCCCATATCGCGAGCAGTTTTACAGAATGACTGCAACTTCGGGATCCCGCCAACTGGATCCAAATCGTATACCACCTTGCCCTGGATGTCATGCAGCGACGGCTCCGTCCCTTCCCACCTATGCGATAGCATGGCATAACGGAAGTACATTGCCACCACGTCTCGGATGCGCTCTGCTTGAAGGTCTGCATGCCTCATTGTGGATGACAAAAGTTCTTTGTACTCCGCACTCATTCTGAAGGCATCGATCTGTACCTCGCGATTGCATAAGCGCCCAGTAAAGGTGTTGATTAGACGATGCGGGGCGTCGTCAAGTTGAGCCTTGATAGTCTCTCGAACAGTTTCTTCTGCTTCGGATGGACTAACATACTGTTGGCGCAGGTCTGGACAAAGAGTCAACAATGTTGAAGGACATGCTATTTGGGGCGTACTTGTTGTTTCCGTGTCGGGAGCATTTTCCAACTTCGAGAGCATGATTTTGAACGCCTCGACGGCTTCATCATATCGGTGTGCGCCATGAAGTACCGCATGCTTCAACTGATATCCAAAGTAAGATGACGGGTTGAGTTCGATCACCTGCGTATCACCAAAATGAGCGTCAGATACGAGACGGTAGCTGTCGTCGCACCTTTTCCGCGTCGAGGAGTGCGTCGTCCCACAGCATTTTTCCTGACCTCGCCTGACTGCGGTTCGCAAATATGGTATCGGTTGCAAAATCGAGGTCGATCGCCGCAGAGTAAAGCTCGACAGCCCTGTCGTGATTACCCGCAGCGAGGGCATCATCTCCGCTCCCAGCGAGGTCAGTCACTCCAGCGGCAGCATACAGCATGCTGCAATCTTGCTTGAAAGCTGAGTAAGATGAGGTTGAGGAGTGTATCCAGTTGACATCACGAGGACTTGCCAGTCGACCAATCAAGGCAGCGTGCTTTCGTAGCCTCATCAGCCCTATCCATCATGTATCGGTATGCTTTGATGGCTTCTGGAAGTCTACCTGCCCGAAGGAGCGCATGACACCAATTCTGGTGTGCAGTTTGCCACAAGGACTTGAGGTCCCACCCGAATAACTAGAAAAGGCAGTCAGGCGTGAAAAAAATGCTTTCCAGTTGCACTGCAATCAACCTACCACCACAAAGACATCATATTTAGAATGGATGGCCGCCATGGACGAAAAACGAATGGTGTTGACAGCGGAAATGAAGTGGTCAGCAGCTTCGTTGTGACGTGCGTCGTCTAATGCATTCATTCCCACTTGAACGTGTAGGTAAGCCTGAAGTGCGAGATTCGCAAGATCAGCATCGACGCATGAATCTGGAGTTGACTATGTCAGGAGTACTCACTTCCACGATACCACAGGCAAGAGAATTCGGATTGGGACGAATGGTAGCTAGCTCGTGGACGCGCAGAATTGCCTCGTCATGTTGATCTGCATTGAAAAGGGCGATAGCCTGACAGCTGTCTTGCAAGTGGCTAGTACATGATACACAATTGACGTACCTTAATCAAGAGTAGAACGCGAGTTTTGTTCAAATCTGCGTCCACGTACATGAACGCGAGGTCAAATGCTTTCGTCGCGTCTTGGAACTGTTGTTTTCCAGTGGGCGATGCCCTTGGAGATGCAGCCCATCAAGGATGGCTGAATACTGATGCTCTATGTCACCATATAAGTTAGTCTGTTAAAAAGGTAGTGATGGGACAGTGCATCTCACTTCGAGCGCGTCATCAAGTGCGCAGTCCCAGTTTGAATTTCTTGCTTTTATAAACGAGCGACTCGCATAAGAGTTGTAGTCGTTGCCATCGGCGCCGATGTCTTGCGTCAACAGCTTGTCAGCAGTGAGCAAGTCGCCACTTATGCATGCATCGCGGGCTGTCGTATTGATACTGAGGATCTGCATCACACATGATCAGATTATGTGGTAAGAGTGAAGCTGCAAACATGCCTCGCAATCAGACCGCCGAGCCTTGGCATGAAGATTGAGGATCAATATGCAAGAAGACGGGCAAAGAATGGGAACTCACATTATCTGCCACTTGTTCCTTCGGGGCACCCTCCTGTAACATATCCTTGAAGAAAATGAGATGAAGAAGGGACGGAAAATGAACAGAAACTTACATCCGATGCCTTGTCCTTGAGAATGTCCTCTGACGAAGGTACTACCCACTTCAAAATCATTTTACCCCCACCTCCGCTGAGAATGTGCTTGCCATTCATGGAGAAGGTGACACAATCCACCTCATTGGTGTGCTTGAATATGGCGATGGTTCTTCCATCCAAAAGCCGCCAAAGGCGAACCTGGTGGTCTTCAGATGCAGACGCGAGAAGGGTGCCAGTAGGGTTCAAGGCAATCATGTTGACAGACCTGGTATGGCCCTTCCAGGGTTCACCGACCTGCATCCAGGTCGATGAATCCCAAATCCGTATGGTTGGATCAGAATTACTACCAGTCGAGAAAAGCTGTTTGCCATCGGGTGTCCATGTGAGTGTAAAATTCCATGCTCCATTGTACGCAGAGTGACCCTCAAAGTTTGCGATTCATTCCCTCTTGCCTGGATTCCATATTTGAATATTTGTCTTTGTTGCGATGGCAAGATGTTCACCAGACGGCGAATACCGAACGCAGCGGATTTCAGCACCACAATTGATTGGATCTCCTTGTACCTGCCATGTTTTTGTGTTCCAGAGCTCTGCTGTGGTATCCCATGAGCCGCTCGCCAGCAATGTGCTGTCTGGGGAAAAATCAAGCCACCATATCTGTTTGGAGTCGACTTTGATGGGCTGGGTGAGAGATTCGCCGTCTCTGTTCCAGGCAATGAGTTCTCCACCATCATCACCACTTGCTATTAATTGCCCGTTTCTTGACACTGCAAGTCTTCGTAAACCGAAGTGATGCCCCTCCATTTTTTTCAACACAACGCCGGCTTCTAAGTCCCACAGACGAAGCGTCTTGTCTGCCGAGGCCGTCACCATACGGCCTCTGTCGGGGAAGACTGCAGCTGCAAAGATACTATCTTTATGGCCTTTAAATGTTCGACTAGCCGTGGTGATTCGAATGGCGGGTTGTTCCACTTCAGTCATTCTACTGGAGGTGGATGGTGTTGAGCACAACTTCCTGGAGAGCTTGTGGGTATCTTGATCTAAGTTTCAGAGGTGCGTGTACCGGGCCCTTTTATGCTTCTTCACAGCCTCAACTTGCTTCACGTATGATTAGACGCCCGGGACACGAGGCCCGAAACCTATATTTTTGCAATCTGCAACCATGTAAGCATAAATCCAGGGCCAGCTTCGCTCTCTTCATCTATTAGCTAGTCCTCCATGTCCATCCCTCTCCACCGCCTACTTCATCTTGGACGTACGATCGGAGAATTGACACCACTCTTGCCGGAAAAGACTCAGTCGCAAACGAATTTGCAGGGTGGAAAGTCTATAGCACAACAGAATCAGACAAGACGTACGTACTCCTCAACCCGTCGTTCAGCCGCAATCGTGACCGCGATCGACAGCGATATATGCAAGCTCTTTATTTCAGGCATTGTACCATACCCCATCGCATTAATGTCCACGATCAGTGAGGAGGGCATAGGGAACCTGGCACCGTTCACGTAAGACGCACATTCGTTGTCTAACGCGCTTTGTATGCTTACCTGGCTTGCGTCCACCAGCTGTTTTAACAGTGAGCAATACACAAAAAACAAGTGTCTTCATCGATTCAATAACCTCTTCCCATAGGTCACGAACTATCGGCCTGTCATCTCCTCCGCATCCAACCGCAGCGCTTCGAGCCGCCTCAAAGGCACAGTCGCGAAGTTGAAGTACAACCAAGGATTCACCATGAATATCAGCGGGCCATTCGTCGAGAACGCAAATGCAAATGCCATAGACACTCCTCTTGGCTTCGACGAGTGGAATAGCGGTCTGCCCAAGGAAAAACGCGTATGCGTGTACATTTGTGATACGATATATGCGCTAACAAACAGGTGTTCAGGTGCAAATAAAAACCTCCCGCGTCAAGGAAAGCGCTTTTAGCATGGAGTGCGAGGTAATTTCATTGAATAATTCACATCTTCATTTTTGATTGAATTTCTTAATCAGTATCATTGACAGCATAGAGTGGATGTTCCAGTTCTCGCATACCTTGTGGCAGCGTCCTTGACGAGACGCTTCAATGTGTTCATGTACGTATGCTTGCCATCCAAGTTCACATTTGCTATCCAAGTACAGAAGTCTCAACGTCCTCACACTCGTACGTACAGATCTGGAATTTGTTATATCTACCTGTACTTTTTTTGTCGTCGAATTGCGCCAACTACCTGACCCCAAGCAGGCTACATGTGTTCATGTTCAGACGCTTGCTAACTTCATAAACAGATGATGTGGCGGGGTCACAGCCTGAGGATGAAATTCCGTATTGTCATACCGGTAGAGTTCGGAACGGTTCGGGAAGGCTGAACTAAATTGGAACAATTCGGAAGGGCCTGGCCATGGACCCAACCACAGAGGACCGGACCAAAAGTCCGGTTCGAACCGTGGTTCTGGACCAGGCCGCGGCAGCACTAGGGCCTGTGCCACTGTCACTGGTCACAAGGAGGACGGAATTCTGTATTGTCATGCTGGCAGGGTTCTTGGACGGTCGCGAGAACCCTTTGAACGGGGACCAGCGATCATCGATCATCCGCTGTTTACTATCAAGATGCGCTGTGTTTATGCTGGTTCCAGTGTTGGGTCCATGTCGTGAGAAACACCCGCTTTTGAAAATACAGTTCTTGATATATATCTTCGCCGATCATTCTAGCCGGACTCACGATGTACACGCACACTTGGCAAAATAATACGAAGTTAACCACACTATTATCCACCTATATGACATTGCTAGTATTGGACTCATCAATGTCTTAGCGGCCATATCAATCAGCAGCAACCTCCTCTCACCAAGTGCCTCTTCGAGTTTCTTGACTGTCACTGAGTGGGCCTGTGATCAAAGGTAAGCAAGAAGTTCTCCCGTGGCGCTCAAATATTTGGGACCATGGTTTGAATGGATTTGGGACTTTGTCTGTGTATTACTTAAATGCAGCTGGTTCTAGACACCAAATAGTTATGCGTCATTTTGTGGAGACGTTTTTTGGGGAAGCTGTGTCTAAGCCACGAGTTCCTAAAACGCGTCGCACTATGGCAAACCAAGCGCACAAAGGTAACGCAGGAAAGAGAACCCCGAACCAACCACGATCATGTGAACAGCAATTTCATAAGACCGGGTAGCACATCACTCGAGATGGGTCCCCGAGTCGCCAGAGGAGGGCTTTTGCGAGGGTAGTTTGTTCTTTTCCCTGTCATTGTGTATACCCCGTGAGCCTCATTCGGCACTGAATGTTCCGCTTTTGTACCGATCTGTAGATCTGGCACTATTGTTTTTCACAACCACTGGTAGTGCATGTGGTCAAAGACTCAAAGGATTATTATCTACTGCGCTGTCTTCTTTTCGCTGACATTGCGTAAGTATTAGCTTGTCGTCATCTTTGTCCTTCAGGACGTTGAACATTTGTCGTTCACAACACTAAACAAATTTGGATTATCGTTTCGTAAAACGTGACATCCTTGCGCAGAATGCGTGCTGACATGAGCGATTTGGTGGGTCGAGAACCCGTTTGGTTTTCGTGGTCTTGCGACGAATGTCGATGCGCTCTCGTATTTCTTGGTGTTGCCCAGCTCCAATGGTGTTTAATGCAGTTAGGTATTCATGGCATCGGTAGTCGCAAATGTGTTTTGACTCAGTATCTATCTGCAATTTTTGAAGAACATGTTGCTTTCCTTAGCTTTTTCCCAATGCTGAAATGATTGCTTCATGATTATGGTTTGCTGAAAACGGTGATGTCCTTCGCGCTTGTTGCTGTGAATAGTCACTTTGACGTGCTTTGCGGAGTAGAGGTCATGACAGCTGTTCGTGCTGTCTGTGTCGACCACGATATTCTTGTCGGTCCCGAATGTGATCGAAAACGGAAAATTTATCCTCGTATTCTTCACAACGAGCACCTATGAGTATAAAGGTAAGGCACATAACAGGGACCGCTCGTGCATTGCCGCTAATTTTCAATGTTCATCTTGCCCCGAGTCTAGTATACCTGGTGCATTTTTCTCGCTGTAGTCCAGGTCTCACACATCCATTTGCAGCACAATGATGCTGACGATGACTTGATTCGTGATGAAGATTATGTTCCTCATCCATCCAATTCGCAACTGTCAGCCGCAGGGCAGTTCATGGCTGGAGAGCATGGAAGTGGCCGGTCGTGTTATTGCTTGTAGATCAGCTTCGAGGACACTCCGTAGGTATTGCTCTCATACGTCAAATTCACACTCTTAGATTATGGATATAAATAACAGCAAAAATGCATACCGCTATAATATCTCTAGCGTCCTGACCATGTCCTGCATAGAAGAAAGGTCTTTGACTTGTGCAATAATATCATGATCTGACGCAATTCTCTTGTATTCTCCGCCGCGTTGATGCGATAGCAAAAATGCGCTAAAAGGCTGTTCAAGGTAAGCAGCCAATCGCAATGCTCGACCGCTCAATCCCGAATCAACCGATTCCTGCGCTTCAGGGAACTCGCCAGGCGAATCCTGTAATGGAGACCCGGGCGCAGACCAATAACCTTCCTCGCTCTCCGTGTCGTCAGCAACGTCAGACAGCTCTGCCAGGACAGACGGCTCCGCGAAGTCAGGAAGCTCGAGAAGATAATGATTCCACGGACGAACAAGCAAGAATGTTTGCTTAGTGGGTCGTGGTGATGAGAACTGAATCAGCTTGTCCTCTGTGGTGATCAGCAGGTCATGAAGCCCATCGGCTTTAACTTCGTATATCTCCTGGTCTTGAGCGCGACAGCGTTTGACTGTTGTCACACGAAATGCGATGCAAGGCAGATGCAGCCTGCAGTTTGCGAAACGAGGAGCGTTCAGGCTGTCAAGTAGGGCGTAAAGTTTCAAAACCGAATCTACAGCCATGGCACGTTGGAGCGAAAAGATCGACGTCTGAATGTCATCTTCGGAAAGAGATGGCAGGGTGCATGGTAGAGCTTTGTATGAAGCAATGTCAGCCGGTAGACAGCTATTGAATTCGGATGATTCTCCCACCCAGTCCAGGGCACTGATGTCACCCGACTGAGCTATGACCTCTTGCAAAAGTCTCCCAAGCGCGTTTTGCTTCTTCTCGCCATAAATGACAGGTAGTCTGACGCCGAAGATACCAAACAATGAGTATGCAATATCTTCCGGCCACGTGGTAACTCGGGCCGACACCCATTGCAGTTTCTCTCGTGCGTCTCTCATCCCTGGACGGAAGGCGATGAGGGCCTGCGCATCTATGCCCGTCGCAACTCCCATCTCCTGCATGATTGCAAGGGAATCCTTGTGGTTGGGAGAGCGATCGTCGAGATATAGGGACCAATCCTTCTGATAAAACAGGACAAATTTTGGGGCGAGGAATTCTTGAACTGTCCATCCTCGCGTGTTCCAAGCGCTACTTGCGAGTGCACCAGGCTGCGACGAAGGTGGAACATCCGACAGGTAGATGATCGTAAGTGCGGAGTGACGATACCAGATAAACATGGAGTTGACCGATTGTTGGACCTCGACGTTGTTAGTCTGGTCGATGCAACAGGTATCAATCCATGCCCATCGATACCCCATATCACGAGCAGTTCTACAGAATGACTGCAACTTCGGGATCCCGCCAACTGGATCCAAGTCATATACCACCTTGCCCTGGATGTCATGCAGCGACGGCTCCTTCCCTCCCCACCTATGCGATAGCATGGCATAACGGAAGTACATCGCCACAACGCCTTGAATGCGCTCCACTTGAAGGTCTGCATGCTTAATTGTGGATGACAAAAGTTCTTTGTACTCTGCGCTCATTTTGAAGGCATTGATCTGTACGTCGCGACTGCATAAGTGACCAGTGGAGGTGTCGATTAGACGATGCGGGGCGTTATCAAGTTGAACCTTGATAATCTCTTCTATAGCACCTCCTGCTTCGGATGGACTAGCATACTGTTGGCGCAAGTCTGGAGAAGGAGTCAACAATGTTGGAGGATGTGCTATTCAGGGGCGTACTTTGTGCTTCCGTGTCGGGAGCATTTTCCAACTTTGAGAACATGATTTTGAACGCCTCGATGGCTTCATCATATCGGCGTGCGCCATGAAGTACCGCATGCTTCAACTGATATCCAAAGTAAGATGACGGGTTGAGTTCGATCACCTGCGTATCACCAAATGAGCGTCGAATAGGAAACGGTAACTGTCATCGCACCTTTTCCGCGTCGAGGAGTGCATCGTCCCACAGCATTTTTCCTGACCTCGCCTGACTGCGGTTCGCAAATATGGTATCGGTTGCAAAATCGAGGTCGATCGCCGCAGAGTAAAGCTCGACAGCCCTGTCGTGATTACCCGCAGCGAGGGCATCATCTCCGCTCCCAGCGAGGTCAGTCACTCCGGCGGCAGCATAGAGCACGCTGCAATCTTGCTTGAAAGCTGAGTGGAATGAGGTTGAGAAGTATACCGGTTGACATCACGAGGACTTGCCTGTCGACCAATCAAGGCAGCGTGCTTTCGTAGCCTCATCAGCCCTATCCATCATGTATCGGTATGCTTTAATGGCTTCTGGAAGTCTACCTGTCCGAAGGAGCGCATGGCACCAATTCTGGTGTGCAGTTTGCCACAAGGACTTGAGGTCCCACCCGAATAACTAGAAAAAGCACAGTCGGCCGTGAAAAAAATGATTTCCAGTTGCACTGCAATCAACCTACCACCACAAAGACATCATATTTAGAATGGATGGCCGACATAGACGAGAAACGAATGGTGTTGACAGCGGAAGTGAAGTGGTCGGCAGCTTCGATGTGACGTGCGTCGTCTAATGCATTCATTCCCACTTGAACGTGTAGGTAAGCCTGAAGCGCGAGACTCGCAAAATCAGCATCGATGCATGAATCTGGAGTTGACTATGTCAGGAGTACTCACTTGCACGATACTACAGGCAAGAGAATTCGGATTGGGACGAGTGGTAGCTAGCTCGTGGACACGCAAGATTGCCTCGTCATGTTGATCTGCATTGAAAAGGGCGATGGCCTGACAGCTGTCTTGTAAGTAGCTTAAACATGAGACACAATTGAGGTACCTTAATCAAGAGTAGAAGACGAGTTTTATTTAAGTCTGCGTCCACGTACATGAACGCGAGGTCAAATGTTTTCATTGCGTCCTGGAACTGTCGTTTTCCGCAGTGGGCGATGCCCTTGGAGATACAGCCCATC